TTTTCTTTTTTTAAATTGCAGTGAAAAGGTAAAAAACATATATTGCAGGGATTAAGGGGTTACTGCTGTATTAATAAGGCAATTTATGATTGTGTTTCTTCAGAGGATGTTGGAAAGGCCCATTCTTTTTAAAGCGTTAAAAAACCAAAAAGGCAGTTTTTGTTTAGATGGATTAAGGAATAGGATAGATTAAAAACTTCAGGATTTATGTTTGAATACATATTCCTAATTAGTATTTCACATGGGCACATACCTAAGAGATGTTTTGGGTGGGAAAATAAATGTTTCATACTCAGCAAGTGAATGTGACCAATGTCAGTTTTGGGGGACAGAGAGAGAGGGGAATAAATCACTTGTTTTGTGTTTAACTGGGAGAAAAACTTGTTGAAGTGAAGTTGTTCTACTTGCTTCTGCACTGGGCAAGGCCTGCAGATTTACTCAGTCTTCAGATGATCCATCTGTTGCTTCTATCCCACTTTACTGGTTCTCTGTGAGGTTTGTGTTTTTCCAGAGGGAAGGTGTGGAGGCTGGTGTAACAGTTATAGCACACATTAGAGTGCCCTGTCCTGGGGAACCCAAGAAATGCTGGGGCAGGGTGTTAACAGTACATTGCTATTGTTTTGTAAGCTAGTGATTTTTCAAGACAGGTTTTTAGATGTAAAGTCTGAGCTTACATCTGTGCAGATACTTGGTAAAATCTGTCAGTGATTTTTGGCTAAATGAGGAGATGGAATTATTCCTTCAAAGTCAAAAGGAAGTAGAGATTGATGATTTTGCTTTACTGCTGGCATATCAACTGTAGGTGGTTTAATAGTGGATTGTAGCAAGCAGTTGCTCTTCCCAGATGAGCATTCTGAAGATGGTGGAGAAGCTGTTGAAAACCTCTTTAAGTTTTAATGTCCAGGAAGAACTTTAGGTTCATTTTTGTGCATTCCCGCTTAGCCTTTACCTAGAAAAACAGGACAAAACGGCATTTGGTCAGCATATTAAAAATTATATGCAACCAACAGTGGGTGTTATTTTTTTTTTTTTTTTGCTGTTTCTAGTTTGGGTTTTATCATCTGTGCACAGAGACTTCTAAATGTCCTTTGATTTTTATTTGTTTAGCAATTTTGTATTATTTAATCTTAGACAATGATAGTAGTACGTCTACACTAACCTGGATGTTCTAAGATTACATATAATTTCAATGGGTCTGCCTGTCTTCTTGCAGTAAATGTTTCTGTGTTTTGTTGTTTCATTTTAAATCTATGCATAACTCTTCAGGTTGGGGTTTTTTTTTTTTGAGCATTGACTGAAATAAGGTAAATAGTTTAAGGGGAAATAAAGGTTTGCTTTGGGGCTGTTTTTTTAAGTGAGTAAGAATGAACATAACTCTGAAGAGCAAGTTGAGCACTCAGTTCCATGTTTAAAATTTACTAATATTCTCTTAACAGAAACAAAATAAACAGTGACAAGGACTGTGGAATGCCTGCTCAGTTTCCTCAGAAGGACAAAAAAAAGAGAGGATATTGTGAATGTTGTGGGAAGAAATATGAAGATCTCCAAACAGTATGTGAAGTGTCAAATATATGCTTTGATACCATAATATCTCTTTAATGTGGTATCACCAAAGGTTTCTCTGTATTTTTTTGTTTTAAAGTATTTTTCTGAATAACCAGCAAATTAGTATTTTTTCCTAGGTTTTAGTTAATTGCTGCTTCTAACATATCTCTGATAGTAACTATCAGAGATATAGATCAGATACCTATCTGATAGTACCTATCAGTTGTAGGTAATAGTAATTCATGTCTTAGTGATGCTGGTAGTAAATTAATGATATTTACTTGGCTCCTTGTTGTGCTGTTGACTTGTGTATTCATATCTGTAATATTAGATTTATTTAATGTTTTTTCTTTATTGCAGCATCTTGAAAGTGAGCGGCACCAAAATTTTGCACAAAGCACACATTATAAAGTTGTTGATGATATAATCTCAAAGTTAGTTAATGAGTTTGTTGCATACAAAGATGATGATACAGGAAAAATAAAAAGGTGAGTTACATGTTGTAAATTCTAAAGACTCTATGAGTCAGGACATTGAACATAGTTTTGAAATTCCTGATCTGAATAGAAGAGGATTAATTCATGTTTTTAAGGCTGAAATAAATAATGGACAATATCTGTGAGGTTGTATGTGGCAAATCAGTTCTGTAAAGCAGAACTTGGGAAAAAAAAAATCAAAAGTGCAGATGACATTAGAGAAAGTTGAGACTGAAAGTTGCCACAAGTTGTCCTACTTATCTTCAGCTCCTCTTAACACAAAATCTACTGCACTGAAATATTGCTAAAAGAAAGAGAGCAATGTCTATGTCTGGACATCTTGTTCTGAATGATTTCTGTCATACTTAGTAGTCTAAGGACAGCAAATTAATCAATCTGGTCTCCTTACCTGTGGAAGAACTTCTACCTGTACTCTAAACCTCTTTGCATCTGTGCTGCCTGTGCAGGACAGAGGAAGCAAATATTCCTTTCTTTGTGCTCAAGAGCTTGAGAGGCAGGAAAGGCTTGTTTGGTATATCGGACTGTAGGCACCAGGGTCTTTGTTATGTAAAGCAGGAACATTATTCAAGGTTGCTCTGATTTTTTTGCAAATGAGTCAGGAGATAAGGAATCACTTCCTTGTTTATTTACAAAAAAAAGGCAAGTGATGAAGAAATAAAGATATTCTTAATGAAATCAAAGGAAATGGAAATAGAATCAAACAACTGATAGACTAATGAATGCAAGCCTTTATTTCTTTCGTGGTTTCAAAATACTCAGAGTTGTTAGGCTTGAAATCCTGTCAAGAAGATCATGTTAATTTTGTGTGTAAATATCATAGAATATTTGTAAGTATTTATAGTCATTGCATTATAGTAATTAATTTATTTTGTTCCTAATGCCACTCTAAATTGAGATTTTATGAAATACTAGACTGCTTTCTGTGTTTTTAAAATATCATGAGCTGTAGAAATCAGTAAGAAAACATCAAAACTATAAGGCACTTTGGTCCTGTAGAAATAGTGTGTTGCTACTCTAAACATATCTTTCCTTGAGGACTCAAAAAAAGCTCCTTTGTCAGTTCAGTTGCTTTTCTAGACTCGTGGCATATGGAGTTACGTTCCGTGGGGCTTTTTATGTTTGTTAATATTTTTAAACAATTTCATTGTAGGACAAAATGTAGCACAGGATATTTTTCTCCTATTATTGGAAGGATAACCAGACCAGATGAGCTGAAAGAACAACTGAAAAAGCAACGCATTGCTTTGAAAACTTACTCCTGGAAGGATACTGCAATGCAGGCTCTCAAACTGGATCACCAGCCTGCAGAAGTACGACCAAATTCTGTGTCAATACCTACCCCTGTTTCTGCATCTGTCTGTTCAGTTCTTTATTGTCACCTATCACAGCGTTCAGAACTAAAAAGTAAGTTCAGAATTAATAATGGAAATATTAAGACTGATCACTCCTGTGCTGTGAAGTTACAAGAGACTGTTGTGTCATCAAATTCCATACAACCACCCCTTCAGAAAACTGACAAAGTGTACACAGAGGGCTTGTCTCGAGCTTCTGAGCTGTTCAGCAAGGAAATAATGGAACTAGATGTAAGTAAAAAAAATGTGCAGTGTTTTCAGGAAGGAATGGATGCTTTATATTCTCATACCCAAGTTATAGATTTTAGTGAAAAAGACAGAAACTTACTGCAGCAGAAAAGAAAATTAAATAATTCAGTAGTTCTACCAGCAAAGTGTTTGAAAAAAACAGATGCCAATCCTACATTTGTCAAGAAACATCACGATTTATGTGATAATCATCAACAAATGCAGCACAATGTCGTTCTGGAGGCTGAGGTATCTGATACTGCTGTAAACAAAGAACTTAATGCATCAGCTGCCAGCACTGCCCACAGTTCACCGTCTGGAAAGCTGCACAGAAAAGTGAAGCTTAATTTGAGAAAGAATAAAAGAGAAACCCGGACACGGAATATGGAGTTATGTGCAAAGATTTCAGATGGGCTGTCTGTTCCTGAAGAGAAGAGAAGTGCTTGTAGCTCATCACTGCAGACCCTATTGGAGTTATTTCAGACAAGTGAAAGAAACTCAGAATTTGGAGGTTTTTCAAGTTACACTGAGAACAAATGCTCAATAAGCATAAATGATACATGTGAAGGGCAGAATGCAAATGTTTTGTGGTCATTATTTTCCTCTTCATCCTCATCCCAATTTTTTGGATTTTAATACTGGTTTATTTAATATAATGATTTTTTTAAATTGACTTGAAAATTTAAGATTCTATTAATGAAGACTTAAATTGCTGTATTATATGTACAGATTATTTGGTTTTCAAGTTTTTTAACACAAAAGCTTCTGTATATGTAAATAAATGTGAAAAATAAAACTAAGTTTGACTTTGGTCATGTGTTTTGGGTTTTTTTTAAAGATGCTGCTTTATTGTGTCTGGTGTGGCTCTGACCCCACATTTGGATTAAATGAATTGCTAGGCAAAGAATGATACTGATGCATTTAGATAATTTCCTAAAATCATTGACTATGATTACATTCCAAGTAACCACATTAAAAATAATGGATGTTCCACTGTAAGTAGCCCAATACTCATGGATTACTGATGTTTTGCCTGTATTTGGTTGCTTCCCTTTTCTGTTTCTTCTGCTGCTTTAATAGAGAACACAGTAACAAAGATGTATTATACTTAAATTAAAAGTACCTCTATTGTGTATTTCAGCTAATAAGAAAGCAGATGCATATATTTTCATTGGGGAAAACAAATGAACAGGAAACCAACAGGACTGGCAGGTTTCTGATTGACTTAAGTCATTTGTTTGATTTTTCTTTCAGAGTAGTCAGCCTGTCAGATTGGCTTTACTCAGAATCTGAGTGAAAGACACAAGTGAGAGTTGGGAAGACTTTTTTTAACAATGCAGTTCTTTACCAGAGCTGATTTCTTTCAGAATTTCTGTATCTGTAAGTCACGAGAGGGCACAAGTATGAAATTAAAAGAGGCACAGCTTTATTAATAAATGTAGAGTGCCTTAAGGTCATATAAGAGATCTCAATGACAGATATTACTTTTATTAATTTTTGTATAAATTGTTTGCATTTTCATTTCTTGCCTATTTAATATTCTCAAATTTGGTGCTCTTACAGTTAAAGTGCTTTTATGTTGCAAGCTATTGTCTGTCCTTTATAGGCTATTTTCTGTGAGGGGTAGGTAGAGCTGCTTGGAATGCAGTAATGGTTGAGGAAAATGATATAAAATTACTTTCCTTTACAGGGATATGAATTGGAAGCTTAATGATGGAAGTAGCTGCTTAGGGTGTTACTGTCACCTTTTAAAGGTGACATTCCTTATTCCTCTGTTAATGTAATTGCATGTACAGTCTGGTGAGGACTGCTTTTGGCTTCTTCATCTTACTGGTTACTTCTGGCTTGATTTATAGTTAATTCTGTTCTGGATTCACATCCAGAAAATATAGAAAGCCATTACAGAAATGAGCAAAATTAACATTTTAAAGAGTTGATCTTGAATGTGCATATCTCTATTTATTTTTTGCCTGCAAATTACCAATATATAATATTCTAGGACTGGGACTTAGAAGTAGAAGATTGAAGCAATTACTTTGTTCTTCATTTTGAATGACACTTTAGTGATTGCTTTCTGGTTCAGTGAGTTCAATATATTTTAGGAACAAGTGTTTTGACTGTTTTTCTTCTATTGAAATAATTTTCTTGGGTTGGAGGATTTTTTGTAGGTTTTTTGGTTTGTTTTTTTTTTTAGTTGGTTGGAGTTTGTGTGTGGTTTTTTTCTAGCTTCTGGTTCAGTCTTGAAAGTAAAATTAAAGAAAAATTGCATTTTCCCCTAAAGCATTGCAAAAATCTGCCAGTATCTTGCTTCTGCCTGCTTCATCCCTGGGCACACACTCCTTAGCTGCCCTGGTGGCCTCCCCCTGGGATGTATGTACATGGCTATTGAGACACATAAGGATTGCTGTAATGATAAGGGTGAACAGTGGAAGAGGTCACTGTTAGTAAATCAGATAAACTGTGTGTGTGATTTGCATATGATTAAATGCAGTCCCATAACATGTAAGTTCAACAGGCACTGCTAAAACAAGTTTTGAACACATTGGAATCTGGCTTTAGAATCTTAAAGGGAAAAAAAAGAATCTGAGGTTTGTCATTAAAATATGAAGACTATTCATTGTAACGCAGAACAAGATTAGGAGAGTCACTGCTACTGGTTGCAAAAAGCAGTTCTAGTCATGATGCAGGTTTTGTTCACTGGTCACTTTAGTGTGTGTTAAAGAGTCCCCTTTGTCAGGGATATGTTCAGTTGGTATTACAAGCCACAGTAAGCCTATTAACTATTTCCAAAACAGATTTACTCAGCATATTTAATTATTTTAATGTATTTATTATCTTTTAAGCTTGTTTAAAAAAACCCAAACCACAGTTTTTAAAATGTATTTATGTTACAATTTGGAAAAATAAATGTGGATGGGTAGTTACTAGAACATCTGTGTCTCTCCAATTTCCTCATAGAGAAGAGAAGAGAATTGAGTACTTTCAAAATATGTGGTAGTGACTGTGAGAAACAAAGACTACCTCTTTGGTCACTAAAACTGCACTTCTTATAGCAAACCTTTCTTTATCTATATATTTGCAATAATTAGATATTATATAATTACAGTTTGAACTTTCTTCATAAGGATTTTTTCTAATGCACTTAATTTTTGAATTGTCTCGCTTTCTGTGACTTTGAGGGCCAGAACTGTTGTTTCTATTCAGGTAAACTATAGTGTGGCTATAAGGAGAGGAAACAGTTCCCAATCCATGTATGTGTACACGAGGGTGTACATACACACTCCTGTGGGGATTAGCAATGCAAACACCACTCACACATAGGGAGGTTCTGCAGGAACTTCTGAGATTGATGCACTCAGGTAAGCCCTGTGCTCTGCAGCAGCATTCCTGTGGGCAGCTCTTGCACGATGTCCAGCTGCAGAACACTTGACACACAGCAAGAGGTGACTGTAGGGCTGGCTTTCCCGTTAGCATTGTTGGGAAGTTAGTTACAACCTGAGGTTTTGGCTTCTTAGATGTACCTGTGAGGGTGTTTGCACCTTCATCCCACATCTGATGAGGCTCAGCTCTGATGCACTCAGCTAATGTAGCTGGTGATGGTGTCTGTGAAGCTCTTGTGGCAGCCTCTGAGTGAAGGAATGTTGAAAAAAATTGTAGCTGCTCTAATTAGTGTAATTACAGTGGGCATGTGGACACAGGATAAAAATATTAATCCCTCCATGTTCCCCAGCTGGACAATCTTTTTCCATGGCCTCTAGGCCACTGGCTGATAAAGAAGGGGCTGATAAAGACTGATCACGCTGGGCTTTTTGATCATGTTGACATTTGATACCACAGAAGCATCAAATCACAGCCTAACTTGGTCTTATACTGGTCTTACAAAAGGAAGAAAGCACTTCCTTGCCCTAGTTCCATTCTCTAGATGCTTCGACTCTGAGAACTTTAAGACATACAATTAGATTGTGTAAAGAATTATGGGAAATTCCTGAAATAGTGAAGTGTAAGATAAAACTACAATTAAATGTGATCAAGCATTCATATCCTTCTTACGTGACTAGTTTGGATGTTACTTGCATCACAGCAGGAAATGGTCTCCCCTTTATCCCTCTCATTTTTTCCATTATATTTCGTCTCTTGTAAGTATTCTGAAAAATAAGCTATTTTCTTTCAAGTGCTTACTGCCACTCAGATTTAGCTGTAACCTCTATATGCATCTAATCACCACTCTTGAAGACAAATGAGAGGAAATTTTAGCAACCAATTGATCCAGAGCAATTGTACAACTTACTTACACAGAATATATGTAGGTGGACTAGAAAATGAATACCAAAATTCATTTCTTAGCATAGCTAGTCCTCTGGACCCTGTAAAGAGATTACTGATGCTTGCTCTTAATAGCAAAACCAGAAGTAAATCCTGTTGGCAATACCAGAGTCACCACTGATAAATCTGAAGCAGGTGAAAATAAATGTGAGTAAAGTCCATTAACGAGTTTACCATCTCTGAAGGTGACATGAGATTAATAATTTGAGGGTTTTTTACCATAAATTCTACTTTTTGGTTCTTTGCTTTAGATAGTGCAGCTATCCAAAATAAATGCTGAGCACCCCGGATATAGCACTATAAAAAGATTTAGGATAGAAAGCAGGTGTTTGGGTGTAGTCCAATTTCACTTGGGATAAAGAAGTTGTAGATTCAGGTGCTGTCTATAATATTTTTGTTTGGGGTTGGTTTTGGTGGGGGTGGTATTTTTGGTTTCTTGTTTTGATTTGTGTTGGTTTTTTGTTGCTGTATTTTGGTTTTCTTGAGTGGAGATCTCACTTCAAGATTCAGTGTTAAATATTTGTTGAGTATGTGGATAGCTAGCCACAAATCCCAGACTATCACTGTGACCTTCAGTACTACAGGCAGTAGAGCAGGAGGTGCTGGTCTCCTCTCTCTGGGAACTAGAGATAGGACACAAGGAAATGGGGGGAAGCTGCAACTGGTAAATTGGACATCAGGACAAGGTTCTTCATTGAGAGGGTGGTCAGTCACCAGAACATGCTCCTCAGGGAAGCAGTCCCCATGTCAAGAGTTAAATGACTGGATGTATTTTTAGGTAGTTCCATGAAGAGAAGGGAGTTGGACTTTATGAGTCTCACAGATCTCTTCCAACCTGATATATTCCATGAGTTGCTAGAAGAAGAAAAAAATCTGTCCCCTGATGTGAAAGAACTCGTTGCTCAGAGAGTTCTCAGCAATTCTGAGAATCTACCAGGAAAGTAAAACTAGGAGGTGAATCTCGTTCTTCGCTGTCTGATTTCCTAAATGAATGTGAAATCACCATCAGTGAAATTTAAATATTTCTCTGAAGAATTAAGCCTGTCAAATCATTCCTTTCTAATCAATGTGTACAATTAGAATGGATTTTGGACATACATAAAACTTAAATTGCAGATAATTCCATATTACGTTGAAGGATCCAAATCACATCCTTGTGATTTGGATCCTTCAGCATAACATGGAATTTTTCTGCAATTTAAGTTTTCTCTTTAGCATTAATCTTAAGTATTTACCACAGAAGTGATAAATAAATAAGCCAAAGAGTTGAAGATATAAATGAGAGAGGTTTGCAAGGAGAGGAGTGTAAAACCTTTTTCAGCTGTGTTTTGGCTAATTGATTCTAGCACACGCACTTAAAATGCCTTTATCTTTGTATTAGTTGGCTGTATTTCTTAAAAAAAAAAAAAGTTATAAATATTATTCTTAAAATTAGTGAAGGGTTTGACCAATATAGAGTTGGCATGCTAAAAACAGGACTGCATTTATGAAACATATGTATCATACCTCACCATATCCACTGAGGACACAGACTGGATAAAACTCTGCGCTCGTAGTTAGCTTAAAGCAGCCAAGCTTTGGCTGGCGCTGGGTTGGTGACCCACCTACACTAAATCTGAACACTGGTGAGCAAGAGAAAAATGAATTCTGTGATGTACTGATCCAGAAAATGAGTGTATAACTGTACTGTGTATCTGCTATGTAATATATACCCAATGTCATGAATTCTCACAGAAAGACTGACAGAAGCAGCTGTGAAATAGTGTGCCAGTGGGGAAAGTTTGGTCTAACTGAAATAACTGTAGAGCTTGGCTGCAGCCTGAAATGTAAGGATTTATGACTTCCGTAAGATTGAAGCATCATATTATAATATTGATTTTTTCCTTTGCTATAAATAGCACTTTCTCATTTTCTTTACCCAACTTGCCCATGGTCTTTTTGACACCCTACACAAGAGTTTTATAAGCTAATTTTGCACTGTTTCAGAAGCTGCTTCAGGATTTAATGGATGCTTTGAGGTAGCATTGTATCTTGCCTGTAGTACCTGACAACAGTATAATCAGGACAGCACAAAACTTACTAACCACTTTCTCCTCAAAGTTACTATATATTTCCACATGCAATATTCTGCTGTCATCTTCAGCTTGCTGGACTGTCATTTTGTCTATTTTCATATCACAGAAACAAACTCTGAGAAACTGTATTTCCTCCATCTATTCTCTAATTGATTCCTTTAATAAGATTATATATGTAAGTAAGATAAGCCCTACAGAGAAATCGGGCCAGGAGCGCCGGCATTCCCTGTCGGGCGGCTCCGGGGAGCCAGGCAGGCACCGCCGAGCCGCTGTGCCCGGATCCCGCTCCTTCCCGTGGGGAGCCCTAGAAGGCAGAAGGCAGCCCGGCGGGTGGAAACGCTCCGAAGAGCAGAAATGGAGGTGCCAGGTGTCCTGGCTGCTGTCGGTGCAAGCAGTGCAATTAAAATTGATCTGCATCATGGTTATAAGATATTTTGATTGTTTGTTTGTTTGTTCTTTTAATCTTTGAGACTACAGTGAGCAGCAGCTTTCAGTGGCATTAATCTGTGATGCCATCTCCTCCTTTATTATATGTTTACAACTGGTACAAGCCTTGCAGAGGGTAGTTACACTTCGTATTCGCTTGCCTGGATCTGTAGCGAGCTGCAGCTGCCGCTGCCCTGAGGTCCCTCCTCCTCCCTCCGCTCACCTCAGCTGCGTGCCATGGCCGTCCTTGCTATTGCCCCTTCCGAAAACGGCGAGGAGAGGTGCCTCAGGCGACCGCCACTCTTGTCCCATTTTCCCAAAGAAATGTAGTTAGGGAAGGGGAGATACACCGTGCTGAGAGGCAGCACCGCTGCTCCCGGCTTCCCGGTAGGTGGGAGTGTAGAATTGGGTTGCAGATGCAAGCCAATCCCTCCGCTGAGGGAGAATTATTCTCGCGTTTCAGGGAATGGACATCGTGGGGACTCCTTGACACCTCGGCCTCTTGCTTAGTCCAGGAGAGCATGTTGTGACGTGAAAGGAATGATTCTGCCTTGTAATCCTTTCCTACTCTCGTTGTTAAAAGAGCGAGGAGAGAATAGAAATGTAAGAAGGGAACAAAAAATGTCATAGAGAAGGAAATGAAGGTTTGCTCAGAAAATGAGCACGTAAAGAGGAGAGCGGGGCTGACGGCGGTATGGGCAGGGAGGGAGGGAAAACGCCCCGGCTGCCCCCCCAGAGAGCCGCCGCCCTCACCCGCAGCTGTCAGTGACGGCAAGTTTTGCGGCGGGCGCTCTCTCAGCCCCGGAGCGGTGCGGTACCGGGGCGGGGGCGACTGCAGAATCCCTGCGGCGCTGCCGGGGCTCCGGGGCTTCCCCTCCGGTCTCGCCCCGCTCCCTCGCGTCCTGGCAAGCGACTACATTTCCCAGCACTTCCCTCTTCCGAGCGGGCTCTGCGGGGAACCGCGGCGGCTCTCGCCATCTCCTTCGCTGGCAGGGGGCTCGGCGCGGCGGCGGGGCGGAGCTCGGCAGCCCCGGCCCCGTGGCAGCCGCGGCTCCGCAGCCCCCCCCGCCCGTGCAGGCGCGGAGCCGGCGGCGCTCGGCGGCGAGCGGGGCGGCGGGCAGCGCCATGCGGGCTGCCGCCTGCCTCCTCTGCCTGGCGCTCGGCGCCCTGGCAGCGGCCGCAGGTGAGTGGCGGGGGCGGCGGGGAGGGGGGGACGCTGCGCCGAGGCTGCTGCGGAGCCCCATGGAAACGGAGCCCCCGCTGCAGCCTGCGCGCCGCGGGCGCAGCCGGGTGACAGTGCCTCTCCCCTGCGCAGGAGGCGCCGGGCCGGCGGCGGGGCGGCGGGGCGAGAGCCCCTTCGCGGAGCGAGAGAGCATCAGGCCCCTGCGGCTGGTCTCCGGCGAGGGCGGCGGCGGGGCGCGCTGGCCGGCGCTGAGCACGCGGGTGCGGAGCGAGGCGGCGCGGGCACAGGTAAGCGCCGGGCGGGGGAGAGCGGCCCCGCAGCAGGGCCCGCGGCGCGGAGCCCCCGCACCCTGCACGGGGGGTGCTCGCACCGCCGAGGGCACGCTCCGTGCGAAGCGATGCTCGGCCCGACGCGCGGCTCGGTTTCCCGCAGGAGCGCGGGGAGCGCCAGCCCTGTGCAAGGGCGCTGGAATCGGTGAGGATGGTCCCCGTGCGTGCTAATGCCCTCCTCGGCCGGCAGCGGGGCCCGCGGGCACAGCCCCCTGCCTGCCTGCGCCGACGGGGCACCAAAATGAAAGTTGCGCTGCCTTTGCGACAGCGGGGCTGCGGCTTAATTTCGGCTTCTGGCTGCAGCGTGGGCAGGGTGGGTTTGTGTTCTGTGGACTCGGATGTGTTTTTAAAAATAGAAATTGTATATCGGAAGGGAATTACTTGAAATGTAACATGTGAGCTAAACACGCTACATATTGCCTGCTACCCAACTCGGGGTATATTTTCAAATTCCATAGACTCATAGTCATTAATGTTGGGAGAGACCTCTAAGATCATCTAGTCCGACCATTAATCTGGCTCTGTTTGTGTTAAAAAACATGTTTTGGTTGTATGAAGCCAAATACTTATAACTTTTAACAACCTAATTTTGTATTACAATACAGTGATTTTCATCTTGACCCCTTTTGTTTGATGTGGCACGTGGCTGTTACATCTAAAGGAAAGAAACATTGAGTCCATATTGTTATAGACGTAGAACATAAAATCTGAGCATTTGAGCTGACATACAAGATGAGTTGCAGGCCTCTGTTTCCTCCTTTTCTAATTGACTACTGTGTGTTTAAGAAACAAAATACGTGAAAAATTGTCTCATATTTCTATTTTTTATAATCCATGAAGTTTAAGAACTGACATCTTGCATTCTCTTTGTTTCATTAAATAATAAACAAGCTCTTCACAGTATATGTATTTGCCTCTGAATGTAACTTACTCAACATAAAGATTGTCCAGATATGAAGACCATATTTATGGTACAATAAAATACTGTTCTCAAAGTTCATAATGCTTTGTTCAAAGAACAAAAAACAACTCCTTTCAGAGTTTCAGGATTTCACGATTCTTTGAAGACCCTCAAAAAGTCACAAGTTCAAACACTTTGTGATATGTCTGTTTTAAACTTAGTAGTGGTTACATTTAGCTTTAATATTAGGCTTAAAATGCTGGTCTTACAGAACAAATTGCTAATTAATGGGTTTTGTTTTTCTGAATGTCTCAGCTTTTATTTACCAAATCTTACGCTCATAAAATTTTCAAGTCATCCTGATCTACTTAAGTTAATAGTAACATGGATGGTTTGAAAAGGGTTAAATACGTTTATTTCACAACAACTTCCACAGTAAACCAATGTTAATGTGTAAAAGCTCTGCTGTAAACGTGAAAGCTACTACAACTTTTCTTCCTGATCAAGAAGTTTCCCTGCTGCTGCTTAAAATATTCCCAACCTCTTCCATGGTATCTGACCGTTGTTATTCATGGAAGGATACAGTAGCTGACAGTACTTTGGACAAAAAAAATTGCCAAGCAGGCCGAACCAAGTCAAGCAGAAGAGACTTTATGTGATTCTGGCACAGAGCATGGTTACATCCTGATTGCAGGATATTGCATCCCTTGCCCAGGGATCTGAGTCAGCTCGCCGGTAATGGACCAGCAGCGTGGCTGACTTTGCTTAGCTGGAGTTGTGTAGGAGCTGCATTTAGGAAGATGCTTATCAAAGTTATGGACTAACTTCACAGAATGAAATTCTGTGGTGCTTTTGGGTGTCTAGTGAATGGCACATGAAGTATAAAGATGCTGGATTCTGCTTGTACATGAAGAGACACCCATGCCTGCCCTGAAGAGTTAACAGTCAGTGGCATATAAAGAGTAGGGGAACAGAAGTGTCCTCCTCATCAATAACATTTCCATATATATTTGATTGTTGTATGATTAAATACACTCTTATTGTCTCCATGTTCTATCCATTGCTAATAGTCTTTGAACAGCTGTATTTGAGAGTTTAAAAATCTGGTCTCGAATAGAGATTTCAAACCAAAGCTAACAGCCTTCTGGATTAGTTAAGGGAGCATGGTTCTTTGAGGAGGTAAAAGCATTCAAGAAGAATCCCTGGTGAGTGAAGGACTAGCAGCCATAACTAGAAAAACAAAGATACCTGAATGGGAAGGTGCATTCAGAGGACTAGCCAACAAGGCTGTAGTTGAATTATGTAAAACAATGTAGTTGTGTTTTGAATCGGATAAAGATAAAAGTTGGGGGGGAGAGAGAGAGATAAGCTGGAGAGAAGGAAGTTGCATTAAATCGGATTGGATTCCTTAATTCCTGGATGAAAGCTTTAGCTGCAGGAAGGGCAGGAGTTGAACAAGAAGGATGCAAGCCTGAATTCAGAACTGCACAAAGGCAAATGAAGATGATCATGCAGAGGAATGCAGAAAAAAAAGCGTGGCCTTTGCAGATCAGGCTTATGATGGAGTTCAGCCAGAAGATAATACAAGTATAGGGGGTTAAAGGAGATAATTGAAGGCAGAAGTGACTTAGATGTGATGAATGGCAGATTTCTAAAAAGTAATGGCTTGTTTTCAACATTTATTGAGATTTTTCTCTAGCAACTTCCTTTGTTTTGTTTGTTTTGGGGTTTTTGGGCCATTGCCATCAGAGTTGAGTGACTTCTATACCTGCATGCTTTACTATTAAATAGTAAAGGAAATAGTCTATATACTCATCCTAGAAACCAAGAATGTAATTGCTTAAAAAACATAATTAATGTGCTCAAAATTGTAGTTGTCCAGGATTGCTGAACCTCAGAACACAGCACAAGGCAAATGTTGTAGGCTATTACATCTTCATGCCATTAATATCTTAATGTACAATGTATAGTGGACATTGGAGAATTCACATGACTTTGCGTTTTTAATTTTAATTCCATTGCAGCATAGAGACATTACTGGTATCTGTGACACTCCTGTACTTCAATTTCTCTGTTCCTCAAAGGGCGCCTGTTAGTAGCTGCACAGCACTTATTGTATAGAATAATCAAGATAAGATACAGCTAAAAGTACACTAATATTGTATTATCATTTATGCAATCCAGGATCTTAGCAATGGGCACCTAATTTACTGTTGCATAAATAAGTGTATTAGAAGATGAGAGTCCTCTATGTCAGGGGCATTCAGTGAAGGCTAATATACTATTTTTGTGTTTGAAAGAAGGACTTGGACATTTTTAAGGAACCTTTTAACTCTGTGCCTTAAGCCATATTTTGGTATTGTAAGAAGCACATGAGAAACCACAAGTTTTGTAATATTTTCCTTTAGCCAGTACTGTCCAGGCATATTCTTTGTTAGAATGTGGAAATATATAAGTGTCCCTCCCCACTGCCTGTATTATCATTATCCATTGTTGATACATCTAAGTATCAAAATTAAGTATTTACATGGAAATTTGTGAGATTTGCTATGGTTTTCAGTGGGAGCAAAGTTCTGACCTGCTATGGACAGAGATTCACTCATCTCTGCTGATGGTGCAGGACATCCATGATATAGCAATTTCAGTTTCTCAAGCTGTTTTTCACTTGCTCATTTCCTGTTGTGATGAAGATACACTGGATTCTTTCAAAGAGAGTAAAAGGGATGACCTGGTTGTAAGGAGCCTGGCCTGAAGGGACTTCAGGACTGAGCTACATCTGGAGACAGAAGTGCATGTTGTTTGTAGTCCAGAGTCAGTAATTTTCAGTAAAGAACTTAGTTGTCTTCTGCAGCCTGCATTTTTTGTAACCAAATCATACAATTACGTACACCTATTTGGATTCACGGCTTGCAGATTTCTTAAATGATTTCTTATTGCTAATAATGAGTTTCAGAGCAGCTTTGCTCTGTCTTGCTGAGTTTACTTAACTCTGCTTGCTTTTGGATTTGAAATTTTCATTAGTTATTTGAATGTTGCCTAGTCTTTGCTATTGCATTCTCTGATTTCTTGTTATCTCACTCTAGTCTTTGAACAGGATATCCCACTTCTTTGCAGGTGCTTCTGAAATTGCTGACTCTTGCTTTCTGTTCTGGTGCTCTCAATTTCTGTTGGTATTGTGAGTTACTGTGTTGGATAGCTCCAACGAATAGTATTTTGTTTTTCTTTTAAAAAAGAGCTCTGGTTGTTGAGTGGCTTATAAAATATCTCTAGAGTTTTGGTCTGAAGGATGATGCCTGCTGGAAGAGAGAAGTGTCATGAGATATTGCTTGATTAAAAAATTATTTTATGCCCACTTAATAAAATTATTTCTGTCTCTTGAAGAAACAGGGACATTTTTTGATCATCCTAACATAAAACCAAAGGGAAGGAGGCTAAACTGGGAAAGGGTTTATACATGGTAATAACATGCATTTGGTTTATTGCTGAATTTTATTTTCTTCCTGCCTTGTTGCCTCTTAAGGTTTGTAAGGCATTAGGCAAAATGTGATATTTTACAGCATATTCAGTGTATGCAGTTCTGCAACAAGATACTTCACCAACATGGCAATATTTTATGAATATATGAATGGTTAAAATAGTCATACTCTTGAAGGTCTTGCCTTCCTGAAGAGGAAAAAACTGCTGAAAGCTAAACTTTGCTATAGGTTGTGTGTTGAATGATTTAAGGGCATTGAGGTTGTCCTTTGATTTCTGATGTAGGAGGCATTTTCACGTACACCTTTTTATAAAGTACTCAAAGTGTGTTTTGGTATTTTATAGACAAAGAATATTTCAAATTCCTAATTCATCCTTCTTTGCAAGCTCATATCAGGAAAAGTCTTCCCCTGCTTGATAATGAGATTTGTTATGACAGTAAATGTATAAGTCAGAAAAAAAGTCTCTGGTAGTTACTGCTTCAGACTTCATGTTGTTTTGTGTCATCTTCTCATGTTTGTGCCATAGCAGACTGGAAAAGAGAGATAATTCCTAAAGCTATGGCTTAGCCTTATAAAACAAG